TTATAAATCTTTTTTTGTTATATTTCCTTTATACTTCTATTATATGATCAAGTTATAATTTTATTATGTATACTTTTTACTCAGAGAGAGATAAAAAATTGAGTTTGGATTATCAACTTTAACAATTAAAAGATTGCGTTTTGCAAAAGATTAACATGTTGCTACAATATTTTTCTTTTCTTTAGAACATTTTCTCGATTACGATACGAATCGCCATTTGCAAAGGAATCGAACGCATGCCATCGGATACTTTGGTTGGATCGACGAAATCGAATGGAGCAAGGGATGTACGCGTGCGCGTGTGTACGGATATGTCACGTACGTTGTGTGTGATCTCAGCATTGGTCGTTGGCAAGGGCTATTTATAACATTCCCGGTGACACGGGATGTTACATAAGCTTACATTATTCATATCGCGCCTTTATGCTTCCTTCGTTACACGCGTGCGTGCGCGTGCGACAAGTCGTCGACAGACTGAACCAAATGTGTATGTGTGTGTGTGTGTGTGCACTAATTTATGTACGTACACACAAAGAACACCGACTCATCATTTCCTTTTTCGAAGACCATCGCAAAGTTTTCCAATTTAGGAACCTGTAGCTTTGTAATTCGTAATGACTGTAATTGTAGTATTATAGTGTCGTCGCATAAGTCGTTTTGTACGTAATAAAAATGCTGCGCTACGATACTGTAACGCTACAGTTGTAGTCGTTAAGAGTTAGGCTTCATCTACAATAGTCACACAAGCTGCGTCGCAGGTCGCAAGCTTGTTGTGATAGCCAATCTAAAGTGACAATTTTAATATTGACGTATCAGATTGGCTGTCGCAAGCTTGTTGCAACACCTGTGACTGCGTCACTACTATTGCACACACTACTGCACAACTATTGCAAATGAGGCCTTACAGAATAGGTCTCTTAATTTGCCATTCTTGAGTTTTGCATCTTTTCATATTTTTATTTTTTCTTATGCTAATAAGGTGCGATGTTGGCCACTAATTTATTTTTAAAAGAATGGTATTTTGCTTAACGAACAAATAAGGATGTATGTACGTTTTTGTTTAATTAATTTATTCTTGAAATACAATACTTCGTTAGCTCACATTTGTTATAAAATTAAAAATTATATCTAGAAATAATATCTAGAAACAATTTATAAAAGTACTTAATTGAATCGAGCTATTTTATTATAGCACAGTTATATTTTACACTTCATCATTTAACAAAGTAGAAGGTTTAAAATATTACATGTCATAATAAATTTATTAAGTATCTATAACAAGATTTACATAAATTCTGCGAAATATCACATATCGATTCGAGCGTGCTCATGAACAAAATAAGAATAAGAATATTTTATTAGAACAAAGAATAGCTGAGATATTTTCTAAGAGTCGGAATTTATTTAATTACGATGTGTAGCACGAACGCCGTTGGAGGGTTCGCTTAAATTGACGATAGAAAGGAAATGAAGTTGCGCGAACTAATCGAGAATTCTTTGTTCTTTTAACCTGAATTATGCCACGAGGAAGTCTATATAAATACGCGCTCTACGGGAGTCGAGATAAAATCGGTCCCCGATACTTTACAGAAAAGTTTTAATACGTCGAAGAAATAAAGGAGGCGTTTTAATAGATGGTAAGAAGGAAATGAAATTATGCGAGTTGAAACTCGCGGTTGAGATACCACTCATTTTATTTATCTTATCCGGTGTGATCGCGAAGAATGTGCTCTATTGTATAATTGACACTCTATTGACATCTTTGCGCTCAACATATGTAATTTGATCATGGATAGTTGTCTACAGAGAAGCAGTGAACAAATTTAGAACGAAAGAATTTTGTCTCTGATCATTTCCAATAAATTTCAGAACATCTCATTTATGAAGTAATAAATAAAGAGATTTATTTCTATATATCAATATCGAGCCTTATTTAGTAATAACGACAGTAATAATATTTGATAGCTATGTTTACGTTTCTTGACTACTAGTGCGTAAAAGCTTTGTAATTATATTTCCCTGGAAATTGTAATTAATCCGACAATGTATATTGATTATACGAATCTACATGTCGACGCTCATCAGCAGTAATTAATGCTACCTCACGAGTAAATCATCTTCATGTGTTAACATTTACGGAAATTTAGTGATTTTAACATCCGTTAATTTCCAATAATGTAATAATGCAGATGCACATTATAACATCGTTTTATTAACATCGAAATACGGTTATTTTATCGTAATTGCAATGACATTTGAACATTAAAAGTACTATTAAAAATGTATCCCTATTGTATATTTTTATTGTTATAAATAATGGAGCATTTGATGACATTAATTGAATTTGGTATGATTTCCAATTTTAAATAACTAGTCTCATAAAATTGTGCGCACAATTTTCACGTGTAAAAACTATTCAGGAAAAAATGAAAGAATACATGGTACTGCTATAATATGATAAGTATGATTTTATGCTTCTCTTATTTGTAACGATAATTAACATGGAAACTCACGTGATATGCGCGTGCAAAAAAAATTCATGCTAATGGCAAAAATGTATGTGCTAATATATGCCTCTGGAAACGCGCATAATAAATGGCTATTTGATTTTCCATATTCATATGATCGAATATTAATGTCATGGAACAGTGTCGATAATGTGAAAAGATAGACTTAATTTATATGTTAGATATGAACAGCTTAAATTAGAACCTTTAAATATAAAAATATCAATACTTTGAAGTTAGCTTTTAAAAAGCTCAAGAAAGATAATTCTTTAATTTAAGAGACAATTTAAAATCTTTATATTTCAAAACTCTAAAGTAAGGCCTGCATATCATGCATCCACAAGAAAAATATCCACGGAAAAAGTAATATAAGTCATTTACAGTAGTATTAAACATAAGTTAACTAAGAATTACTTATTTTAAGTAATATAGATATTAATTTCCAGAAGAAATAGTATAGATATTAATTTTTATTATATTAAATAAAATTCCTAAAAGTTACCTTATACAATATGTCATTTACCTTATTTTCTATTTTCAACTTTTTCTATTTTCTATTTGAATTTAACTTATATTACTTTTTCCAACTGATGTGTAATTTAGAAATTTACATACAATATGAATTTAAAAAATCTCGACTTATGTTACTTTTTTTGAATACATGCAAGACGATTTCATATAGTAAATATATATGATGCACTGCAAAGTTAATCGCTATAAGTTTGCGAGATATTAAACTTGTCATTAACTTGTCATTATGAACCTTGTAAGTTGCAAAAGAAGTTGTAGAAAATTGAATAAGACTGACAATGAAACGGAGGCATGACAATGTTTATAAGAAATATAGTAAATAAAGCGCGAGAGACGAGTTTTAGCGTTCTAACCAATTCCAGGTACAATTAGAACAGCCCTGGTTACTGTTATGTTCCGTTCCATGAAATTCTGAGAAGATGAACACGCACCAAAAGAGAGACATGACATGCATTGTTGGGAGAAAAAAAGTTAATTCATAACGCGCCATACGACTGTCGGTATCTCGCATTACTTCCCAAGTAGACTTGTGTTGCACTTTTCGTGTAATAACATCATTTCTACGAATACTGCATGTTTATTATTTCTGCATTACTTTTGACCAAAATAGAGCTTGGTGCTTAATAATATTTATATGTAAATTTACAAATAGAATTCTATGAATTGCGCACCGATTTAATTTATCGTAAACGCATTAAATTGGAACTACAATAGAAATAACACTACAAATTACATTGATCATCAATTTGATCTTTTATTTGATTTATTTCTTATCGGTATATATTGATCTTATTTTTCACTTATAATCCTTTATTATTCTTTTTGTTCTTTAAATTTCTTGAAGTGAAATATCTTATTTCGAAAGAATTAAAATACTGTCACCATTAAAAAAGAGTGAAAAATTTGCACTCTTGAATAAAAATGACAGATTTTCCTTTGAGTGAATCTCACTCTCAAGGTGTGAAATTTATCTCCAAAAGAATGAAAATCTGCCGCTATTCAAGAGTGTAAATTTTTCACTCATTATCAGTAGTGGCAATATATTTAACTTTTTTGGAGTGAGATTTCACTCCAAGAAATTTAGAGAGTGCGTTTTACGAAGTGTTGGGTTACATCAAACTGAATTGAATTCTCACAAACGGAAGCTTTCGCAAACGAAACGCCAGGAAACTCAGCGACGATTCCCGGCTCGTGCGTTGTAGGATTTTTTTCTGGAGACGCGTCACGCTTGCATCGCTCGTGTGTGCACGCACCACACGCTTCCTGCGACGCCCACAAGCGGTCACTTACAATTAGCGTTCGAGTCAAGTATGTGACTCGTCACCGGCGCAAATTGCGTACTAGAAGTCGTAACTGCCGCGGCTGAATGGGACTTAATGGTAGTGGCGGCTTAATTCATCAAAAAGGATCCGGATATCTCTCTCTCTCTCTCTCTCTCTCTCTCTCTCTCTCTCTCTCTCTCTCTATTTTTATCTTAATTCCCTTTGTTAATATTACGCCAAGATTTGATTTGTATCTCTTGGCATATATGCAAGTGCTGTGTTTCACATTCATGCCTATTTGGCTTTTCCTTCCTTGCATGAACGGTTCAACTAGACGATCAAATTACACGTTACCACGGCTCGTTGAGTGCACGACTCATTGAGAAAAGAAAAAAAGTATGAAAGAATGACGAAGTAGAGCGCATCGACGAAACTTCTATCGATAAGACAGGGGATTGTGCAGACTTAAGTAAGCGTTTCATTGAATCCATTGTCGGTGAGCGTTGCGAGTCCGCTAATTGCGCGCAAGTCATATATACGTGATAGACATCTCCGGCAGAGAATATATTATTTTCACCTTGTTAATTATTTAATCAATATAACGCAAATTTTTTAATGTCTCTTCGTATCTCGAAAGAACATCAAGGCTAATGACTCGCCTTTTCCGCTTCATGGATCATTAAGCCGTTATTAGTAGTGATTTTATTTCTATCTCGATCTCTGACACTAGCTCGAACGATGGCTACGTTTAATCGATCTTTTAATAATTCATTACACTGATCAAATGTCAAGATTTCTTCGACCATGTCAAGAATCTTCGAATTTATTCCAATCGTTTAAGACTTTAAAAGATAATTATGAAATATATATATATATCAAGAAGTTATTTCAAAATTGTTGATTAAATTATAGAATGTGAATTTTTTCGGATTTGAGATACACTTTGTCGATCATTATTCTCAATTCGTTGATAACTGCAAAATTATTGTATTAATTATCTAATGCCTTTTTATTTCGAATTTTCGATGGAATTGCGCATTTAAAGGTACATAAAGAATAATTAGAAAGGAAAAATACATTAAATACAATATTTATAAAAGACAATTTGACAACAATTTATGTTTTTTTCGCCACTGGGATTTAAAAATACCTCAAGTGATTATTAATGGGTTAATCATATTTCCATTGTTGTTATTAAATGGATTGAACTGTACTTCAATAATTTATCGAAAGGAAGAAAACCGTTTGTGGCAATCGCGACGCTTCGCAAATGCACCGGGGAACCAAGTGCGTGCAACGCGCATGTAATTACAGGCTTCTGGCAGGCCGGTGTAACCGGCGAAACCAATTTGCGGTTATACTTGGAATTCATGAATGAAGCGCCACGTATAGTGGTTCCCGCCTCAATGAGGTCTCCGTGTCGGGCTGGTAATCGCTATTGTCCATTGACGTTTCGAAATTTTCAGCATTGCTTCCTACACGTCAGACACGCACGTCGAACGCGGTGCAGTTAGGCCTCTTCCCGCGGGTGTACGGTGTCTGAATAGTAAAGAAGAGTCACAGTCACTGGTATTCGTTAAAACACAACCGAAAGAGAGAGAGAGAGAGAGAGCAAGCGAACTGGATGAGGAATTATTCGTCGAGAAATCATGTCTAGTATATAATACATATATATTTTTCTTAACTTTTGCTTAAATTTTAAGCAGAGATTATTTTATATTTCACTTGTATAAATGCGAAACAATTAATATTTCTAATATTTTTAATTAAAGAAATCATAATAAATAATCTATCCAAATATTGCAAGAACACACATTATTTTACATTACAGGAATAGAGAAATGTCGTGCAAGTTTCTGATATATTATTATATAATATAAAGAAAATACTTTTTACAATTTTTTTAAAGAAGAAATTTATCGTTGCATTTATCGTAATTATTTCAGTAACATAAAGAACTTATTAATGCGATATCGCATTAAAAGTGTTTGATGCGAATATCATCCGCCGCTTTGAATGAATTTGAATAAAATTGTATTTATGGGGTGAAGAGATGATGACAATTTAGGTACATATATACCACGTCGATGGCACATTGTCTTGATCGTTCTATTTGCTTCCCACGTACGCACGAGTTTCTCTCTAATTTAATGCGAGTCACTCCAATTATAGTCGTACCCACTAGCCGCGAAACTCGCGAAACGAAATTGCCATGATACTCGGAATTTATGAATGGACCGACGACATACCTAGTTTCGCGCTCGTTAAGACATTTCCGCGAAGCGTCCAAGTTCGTCGCAACGAGAAAGAAAGAGGGATAGATAGATAGCGGGAGAAAGAGAGAAGTTTGAATTAGGCGTAACGTTACGCGTTGTTGAGTGAATCGGTTGCATCTGTCGCTTCGTATATATATCAACAGCGAGACGAAACAAATGAGATCATTTATCAAAGAATATTATAAGCGCGCAACAATTCAATGATTTTGCATTGGTGAACGGAGAGCGGACGGGAATAATTTGGATGTCACTCGAAATAAAATCCAGCGAAATTCTAGCTAGGAAATTGGCCGTCCTAGGATCCAGATTTACACGAAGGCATCATCGTGTTTTATTCATAGGCACCGACAGATGCCCAGAATATCACCTCCACCCTATATGACTGAGTGCAACAGCTGCCGAGATGATTACGCGCGTCCAAATTTTATTGAATGCAACCTCCTGATGTTGCGTGCGACGCGACAAACGCGTGAATCCGTGAATGAAAGATACCGCGAGCGCGATATCGGTTCGGGGATTCAATAATTATTTAGCTGGCACAAATATATCTTCTTATCACGGTCACGCGTATCGATTGTTGCGTTCGTTTTCGCTCGATCTCGCAAAATCGAGGAGCGCCAGATGCTGAAAGCTGTACGTATTCATGAAAACCGTGATTACGACACTGGCCGTAAAAAAGTGCCTTTTATGTTCCTCGAATCTTCTCGTGTGTCAAAACACCTCGCTTGAATTCCACAAAGGGACACCTGCGTGCATCTCTGGTCGTATCCCAGAATTTCAGTCGGAAGGGAAAAGGAAAACAAAATTTATCTTTATACAAAACTTATTAAAATACTTTCATTGTAGCTTTTATTGTAGCTGGTCTTCAAGGATCTTCAACGAATTTTTATACGAGTAACGCGTGACCATTCATTGGTCAATGAGCATTTAACTTTTCATAAAACGATTTTCGTAATTGTTTCTTCTTGCCAAAGGAGTATGTAAAGACGATCCAAAGTATTTAATTAAATAGATTTGTATGAAACTTTCCAACTAAGTTATAAAAATCATAAATATAAAGAATGTTCTAAAGAGATAATTAATTAGGATAATCTTACAATATGAAGACTTGGGCGATTCCGTCCTTTTGGATGATATTTCGTTTTTTTCGACGTTTTCATTTATCGATTCTTTAATCTTGTGACCTTCGCAGTGCGTTCTTTTAGATCTAGTTTCACAACTCATGATTAACTCTTAATCGAAGTTCAACTTATTTCTCATCTTTTTCCAATTCTAGAAAAGAGATAATGAATAAGTTGAACCTCGGATAAGAGTTAACTATCAGTTGTGAAACTGGCCTTAGTCATTCAAATAGTCTGCGGGTACTCTCTCTCTGTCTTTTTTGTTAGCGTTTTTCAAATTCTGAGAAAGGTGATCTGTAGGTCGTGCCATCGTTTTGCTTTTCGTTTTTACATTAAATCTCTTCACCAGTATGATTCTGTGACCCAACAGGAATTAAATTTGATGAAAGTTTCATGAAAATGTTATTTAGTTGAATACTCTGGATTGGTTTTTACATATTTCTTTAGAACGACCCTTCTGCCCCCCTTTGCGTACGCCTATGTCTTACGTGATATTTCTCAGTATTGCAAAGAAAGGAAGAAACACGGCTAATTGAAGACGCGAAGAGGTATACTAATGGAGGTGTACTGACTGAAATGACATTAAAATCCCAAGTAGCGTCCAAGAAGTAATGTATAGTATAAAGGCGTTCAAATTAATCATGACGATTTAATATTCTTATCACTGCCACGCGCGATTTTAAGCGCTTATTAATTTCTACCATTCGCTTCGTCTTTGTATTATTTCGTTGTGTAATAATAATTCGCGGGGTTTGGACTGTGTCTGAGATGTATTAAACGCGCGGACAAGCTGGCGCCAGACGTCGCATAATATACGCATAATATACGCTGGGATTATCTCCAGGTTGTGTCTTAATATCAAGTAAAAATACGAAATTTACTCTCGTAGCAACGTTTTTCCCGGTCAAAGGCTAATACAGTTGCATCAGTGACGTCCAATTACATGTGATAACATATTTTCGTAAGAATACGATATCGTGGTAAACTCGAGACTTTATACATGTTATAACGAATGAACATTGTTACATAATGTCAAAGTGTCACGAGCACTGCGACCATCGACTACATTGAAATGTCGACAACGAGCTAATCTCCACATCGCTATTTATGTTTTACATCAACAATCGATCATGTGTGGCGATCACGCTCGGAGTAATAGATAATTAACATAATCGCCAGTATATAGAAATAATTATTCCAAGACTTTGATAATAAACGCCACTATAAATCATACGCTCGCGGTGACATTCGTGTGAATACTTGTGAATACTTGTCTGAGTATTCTGAGAGGCAATATCGAATGCAAGGCTTGCAACAGGTCGACGTAAGGTTGGGTCAGTTAAGCTTACTTGGGTCACGTCACGATAATTGCTAGGCCGGCTGCTCGATGGTAGTCGCTATCTGTTACATAGAAGGCGAAATAAACTCTGCGAATGACTGTCGCTCACGCTATATCCACCTGTTGAGCACTGCTTATGTCATTTTTCCTATGTCATCTATCGCGATTACCATCGACAACTTTTCACCCCCGATCGAACAATATACGTGAAGAAATCAAGGAAAAAGTAATATTTTGCGCTCGATGTTCTCTGTAATCGAGGAAATCATTTTATATTCAAGATACTCGCCGAATAGAAAAGATATATAATTAATATATCTTTTATAAAACTAATATAATTAATTGTATACATATGTTCGTAAAAAGTTCCGCGTTCCAGCGATATTAACAGAGAACACGTATATTAATTTTGAAATTGTATTAAGTATCATTAATTATATTAAGTTGTTCTAACGTGATTACAAATTTAGTATATGCGTTTAGACATTTTTCAAAAATTGTGCACACACGCATTTAATTGTATTTTTCTACCTTTTCTTCACTGGAAGTTATTATCGCGATTTAATATCCTTATTCGAGAGAATATGATTCTCTTTTTTTAAAAAAAAATGTTTCTTCAGAAGTGTAGGCTCTCTCTCTCTCTCTCTCTCTCTCTCTCTCTCTCTCTCTCTCTCTCTCTCTCCCTCTCTGACGATGAATGGATTCGAAAGATATATACGATAATAGGTCGCATTTTCAACTGCGCGAACATGGGATTCGCAGAATACTCGCGAATTATTCTACGGAATAATAACTTCCACGAAGCGGAGTCGAGTCATGAATTGCCGCATAGTTTCCATTCATGGCGTGGCCTTTGAATCAAGATCTCTGCCGATGTTGCGTTCAATAGCGGCGGTTGAGTCATTTCCGATAAGATAGATGAATTTCTAGAAAAAATGACGGGAGAAAAAGAAAGAGAGACAGAGAAAGAGAGAGAGAGAGAGAGAGAGAGAGAGAGAGATCACGGATATTTGGCGTCTGATAACAACAAGTCTGATAACAACTAGAGGATGCGATGATGCTACTTTGCGAAACATAGCCTTGATAGTGCACGCGGGCATCGTTCGTTCCCGCCTATATATAGCACTATACAATTGAGTGCATTATTATTTCCGAGAACATTTATCTTATTGTTCGTCTAACAACTTTACCTTCACATCTCGATATGAATTTCTATGAATTATTTAATATCGACATATGTGCGCAATTGCATAACTGCGCGTACGGATGCACCGATGCAAAAAAATTGCATCGATGATCTGCGATTTCGTATGCGGGACGACTACCCAATCGTGTTTCATCGATAATTCAACGCTTATTATCATTCATATTCGACCGTGTAACGCTATTATAATTGCTCGTAGCGAACCGGTAAGCATGCGGTAATGATTTATCATGACAAAATGATGAAGCGAATGAGGCTTATCTAGAATTATTATTTTTCTTCTGCCATACGCTTATAGGAACCTCCATGCTGAGCCCAGCCCCGGCTCTCTAAATAAATGCCACGTTGCCCATCAGCGTACACGTGCTATTAAACACGTGATGGCTTTCTAATGGCTCGTTTAATCTCGCATTCATTTGAAATTCAACGATCGCTCGAATCTCCCCGCGACCGTAATACGGCGATGCCCTTTATCGTTGCGCAACCGTAATGTCGAAGTTGCAGCGGCACATAAACGCAGAGACGGTGGGAGGGGAAGGGAAGGAAGTACTGGATTACCGCCCACTATGATCTCATTAACTTGCGCTGCGTGGAAAATGAATCGATCGTTCCCCACGATCGATCATTGCGCAGATGATAAATCATCGGCACGCTCGATGCGTCGGATTTTCGAGCCACGCGATCAGTAACAGTAATTAATTAACGTGTGCAAATGCGACCAATTTGAATTATGCTGCATCAATTGCTCGTTTCGCCAACGATTTGGAAGATCCATTTCCACGGTTAACGTGTAGACGCGATTCCATGTCCGTCACTAACGCGTTGTCGTAAAAATAAGTATATGCTCAAATTAAATAACATATATAATACATTTTGTTAACTCTACTCTGACAATATTACACTGATGAACGATGGAACCGTTTTTTTGTTCTCAGAGAAGCCAAATAACATGTGTATGTACGTCAATGGTAAACACATAGTGCAGAATGTGAACAATTTCTAATTTATAACCCGAAATCTGCGCCTTTGATGTGACAGCTTTAAATCCTAAGCTTGATTCATGGTGAAAGGTATAGTACAGATCAAGCAAAGAATGTGAACAAATATGAATGAACACTGTGATGAATAACATGAATGGCTCTGCGAGTCGAAATTTATATCTTTCCGCAGGAACAGTTGATCCTCGTAGTTATTTAGACTTAGTAAATCCATTCGAGCTCAATACACTGCAGACGGTCACACATATATATTTACACATCAGATACATTCATACACACTTTGGAGAGTAATAATGCAGTAAACATTTGAAGAATAATGGAAGCAAGATTTAAGCATAAAAATAATTTAAAAAGAATAGGTTTTTTTTTTTTTCAAAAGAAAGAAGAGTTTTATATATTTGATATAAAAAGAAAAATGCAAAAGCTAGAATTTATTTTTTATTTATGTCCTTTAATTAACTTAAGTAACTAAAAAATTACGAAATCGATAATGTTCTTTCTGTTATTGGAATATCAAAAAAAAAAAAAATGTTACATTCTCATTGCGGAATCGCTCGTCCTTGTTAACTTGGTCTGGTCCACCTCAATATCAACATTAGACTTGTATTATGAGACACTAGGAAGTCGCATTTATTTGGCGCTACTTAAATATCACGCCGAGAGTACAAATATAATATAAAACATGTGGCAACGAACCGCGCCAACGGTGTCTCATCAAATATATATGTATAGATCTATTTTTTATTAAGTAATACAGCATAGCAAATTTCTTTATAATTTTCCATTGTTGTCCCGTTCGATTGTCGAATCAAGCAAAATTTCTTAAAAACGGCTTCTTCATGAAAGAGATCCAAGGACCTTAGCTCCACCGGCATCGTGACAAAATAAAATCAAAATCAAATCGGTTGATCGTAAACGAATCAAAGATCAGGATCAATGAGATTTTCAGTAATATAAGGCAAACTAATGATTTAACATACTTTATTACATCCGTTGCAACGGGTTTATTCATATCTTTATTCTTAAGTTTCTTAAATTAGATTTTTTTTTTGTATATATTTTGCTTCCAATTTTCTTCGAATGTTTATTGCACTGTCACTCGTAAACTGCATATAATGTGTAAATATGTGAGTGTCTGCAACATACTGAGTTCGGATTCGTGGATTTGCCAAGTCCAAGCGCTTTGTCAATAAACCATTTACTCCGGACCTGTGTTTCTGTTCTGTTGCGAAATTACGATACCCGGAAGATGACGAGATATTATGATATTTCTCGTGACAACTCGAATCCGATCCATGGGATGAGAGAGAGCTGAGCAGATTCAAAAGCATAGCGGCGGCGGTTCCGTAATGCAATAATAAACTGCAGCGTCGATCTCGACGAGATACGGTAAAGGGCTTGCGGGTCACGTAAGATATACACACCGCGACCGTCTCTTCTTCTCCAGCGAGCCGGCTGGCATCAGGTTGTTGATTCATCGATCGACCCAGGCGGTGATATTCCCCGTGACATTTAAACTATCCGGCGACGCTCGTTCGATCTCTTCGCGGAACCGAACGCTAATGCAACTATTATCTAATAGCAAGATATATGTGTATTATATTTACGTAGTAAAATGTGAGATACACAATTGATTATTTAATTATTTTATTTTATCATGAAACACACATTTCGAACGTTTTGCAGTATTCCTCGTGCCAGATCAAATTTATTTTTACGTAATATTTTCCTTGTACATTTTATATCTAAACCTGCGTATAATTTTTTGTCAAGGAATATATGTGTGTATTCTTACATTGTTTTTTCACCGTTCTATTCCATATATACAGAGTATTATCTCCTGTATTCAAGTTTATTTGATTGGGCAAGTGGGAATCTTATTTTTTCGTGACTCTTTATTTTTTTATTTAACCCTTTTATTACCCTTCGCGGTCACATTTCTACAAAGTTTAAAGATCATATTAGGATTAAAATGCCCCCAGAGCACATTTAACCGATTGTTGTATTTACCTACAGTTTTCATTCTAGGATGTCCAAAAATTACTAGTTAAATGCGCTCTGGGATCATTTGGACCCCAGTGTGATCACAAAAGATTAAGGATGATGTGCACTGACAGAAAAAATTGGTTGCTGCAACAAATTAGACGATAAAATATGACATAGTATTTTTAATTGGCTGCAATATCTAACTTTTGTTTGCAGCAGCCAATTTTTGGTTGCTTTGGCCTATCCACAATATTAGTGTAGGACTTTGATAGACTAATAGCGCAACTAAAAATTAGCTGCTACAACCAATTAAAAATATTATGCCATATTCAGTCAATTTTTTTCTTTCAGTGTGTCTGTTATAGATTGACGAATTCTGACTACAATTATTGTTAATGTTATCGTCTGGGGGAATATCGCGACGCCAGGTTTATCCTACAACTACCTCGATTGAATCTATACTATCATTACATGGCGGTCGATCGTTGTCTACAGCAATAAGCGACGTACTATATCACGGTGACGAATGACGAACGACAGGCTTGGCAAATTGACCATTGACACGTGTGCCGATCTGCGAATGTGTGCATTATATTATATACCGCCCGCGTAAAGAGACCGTGGACAGACGGAGAGAATATATACGTACGTGAGGTTACGAGATTGATAATGCGACGCCGTCCCGACATTAGTGCACGTGCGTGCGCACTCGAGCGACGACGTTACTCTAATTTGAGATGATTTCATGGCCGCTTTAATGTTTCGTCTATTTATTTCTCTCAAGGCTCTGCTCCACCGTGAATTATGTCGCATGCGCGTTACACGGTTACGGTACACACATCGTACCACAAATTAACGTTGCATTCACATAGCACGATTTCTTTATTTAATCCGATAGAAATAAAGTGCTTGTAAGGCACCTTCGCGATTATTAGTGTGTAAATTATATTTTTATTGTATATGGTGATAAGATATAATTTTCGAATAACTGGAATCGTACTCATTATACGAAATGAATTGTAAACTTTGAACTCTGGATTTAAGTCATCTTCAGTGCAGAAGTCAAGTATAATAAACTGCTTTATTTAATTGCTGTATTAAAAATTCTCTATAATAATTTATTAACATTAATTTATTAACATTAAATTATTCTTATTAACATCACATTATTGTTGCTTATAGCATCAACATTATTAAATTGCTTGTTAATTTAATAATATAACCATTCTAGTTCTGTTTATGATTGCGTTTAAAAATTAAAAAAATTCCGGCGCGTTGTTCGCAGAATTGAATGTGTACGTAAATCCACATCGAAATACTTAAGCACTGAGATCTATTTTGATCAAGATAATAGGATTTTCTCATACTTAATTAGATCTGTAATAATTTAGTCTTCTTTTCTACATTACGAATTAACGCAGGAGCCTACAAAAATAACAAGAACAGTTTCGACAGACTGGCGTTAATATTACTCTTAAATTGATTTTCGAAACGATGTCAACGGTAATATTTTGCGATGGTGCGTATGCAAAAATCATTATGCGAGCGCGAAACGAGAGATGCGATAAAAGTGCGCGTTGCTGCGTGAGATCGTACATACGCGAAAGGCCGATCGCGAGAGATTCATCCGCGTGTAAGGGAGGGCGAGAGGTCGCTCGTACATGAAAGAGGGTGAGGAATTGCCAAGGTGTATTATTTCCATCCGATGAACATACGAGCGGCCGTAACTCGGGGGTAACACGAACGAGGATGATGTGTGTGACGTGAGCAAGTAATAAAAGTTTAATTAATATTAAATAAAAATTTAATTAATTGGATTTCTAATTTTACATGTGGTATTTATTTTTTAAATCGAATCTTGAGTTTGTTTGAAAAATTAGAATTATAATTAAAAGGATGTATAAATCGTTTCTGTAACGTATGTTACATTTTTTTTGAAATTTATCACCGCATGCAAAAAAATTCGAATAACGTGTTTACATTCAAAAGATCCGATGGAAAATGGGAAATCAGATAATAAATTTTAGACGAATAACAGAAATTTCATTTTCAGTCTTTTTAGGAAGAGATTATTAAAACATTGATACACGAGTCGGTGATCAATAATCATACCTGCTCTCTAAATCTGGATTAGTGGATAATTACTGATTATCAAATGACTTGATTCTGGATAATCAGTGAAATTCATCAGAAAAAGGAAGGAAGGTTTGTGTGTGATATAATTAAAATACCGATAATTGTACTTTGGTTGCAATACTGTATACATTGAGTTTATACGCTAAAGCAACGTTTCATTGATTTTTTTTTAGTTGAATTTCACTAATACAGTGGCATACTTGGGATTGATGTCAGTGATTATACTGATTCAGATTTAGAGAGTATTAAATAGAAATAATAGCAAAATAGAACATGATTTTCTCCCGGAAAGAAGAAAGAAATTTTTGATAGAGATTATTATATATATTAGAGAAGATATTCTCGCGGGAAGAAAAATATATGTCTAAGTGCCAGCTATAATGTGTCGAGGGAAAGCTCTTCGATCTAACTTGCGCAACATGCCCTAGCGTAACCGCAGTCGCCGCAGACGACGATATCGTAACTCCGGATGCGGACTAGTCATTCTGCAGACGCACTGGGAGGGCATCGCGGTGTTCTGGTGTGTGTACCTTTGCGAAAGTGCTAGTGTGGTGAGACCGAATTGCGTTCGTTTTATTTCTAATTTGCGAGACGAGAATGTGCGCGAAAAGAGAGAATAAAGTGTGAGGAAAGTATATTTATTCTGGAGCGAGTCTTAGCAAAGAAAGCATAAGTAAAATTAATAATAAAATCAGATCTGTGTAACATATATATATAAAAAAAAATTTAATACTTTTTCTCTTTCTCTTATAGAGAAAGAATAAGTAGGAATAAAGGATTAGGTATATGAAGTAAAAAAAACCTACAACAGGCTAAATTTTTTAGAAGCTTATCCCCACTTGTTCTGGCTTTTAGCATAGTGGGATCGGATCTCCCGATGATCACTGAAGGTATAGTTTAGCGCTCAATGACCTCCCCTCACTTGCATATAAAATTTACATACAATAGCATTTTAGAGTTTCAATCTTGTACACATTTTATTAATTTTTTATACTTCTTTTGTACCGGAAGGATAGTCATTTGCGCATAATGATTTAAAGAAATAAATTAATTAGAGAATACAAATTATGAATCAATCGCGAGTGATATTAAATCTTATCGATCGTAGAACAAAAGGATAATAATTTAATTAAAGATAGATAAAATTAGTCTATAGTACGTGATGTTGTAGCTTACAAAATAATAGGATCAATGCCCAATCCAATCGTGGTTCGTTTCTGAAGTCTGGAATTTAAGGCGCGGTGCGGCGAATAATTGAAAAGCGTCTCCGTGATGAGACCGAGCGAGAAAGCGGGCGACCGCTGCATTGAAGAGCGAGATGCTGCATTGAAGAGAAAGACGAGGAAGGGATTCGATGGGTATCGTAGGAGCTCAAGGAGGGACCCAGGAGGCCCGACAGACTGACGCCAGGAACCTCGCCGAGCGAGACGGCCGGCGCCCCGCGTTGTCGATGTTGCGCGCGGGCTGTGCCTGCGTGTCGCGTCCCGTACGTGCGTAAGCGCGCCGGCGTATGCGTGAGCACGTCACTAGCCGCGCGCATATAAATACGCGCGCATCTGCGGCGGTGCTTTGCTTCTCTTCCACTTCTCCGTTACACGTCCCCTCCTCCGTCCCTCCCCTCGTGTCCCTCCACGCCGCTCCACGAGAATGTGGTTATTCGGCGTCATCTGGATTCCTGGTGTGAATCATAACGCTCTCTCGGGCTGTTAAATTTAAGAGAGCCGCTAGAAATTGAATTACGCGCGTACGACGTGACAGGAGCGCGACGAGAGCGATCCTCGAAATTGTTTGCAAATTTATTATTGAGAACATTGCGACGTACAGGTAAAATGATTACATGTATATTGAATTGTTTATTAAGAGATATAAATTTTTCAAGAGCAAATATAGAGATTCATTAATTTGCTATTGCTATACACGATATATACATCTTGTAACGTTCTTCACGATATTTCCGCGAAATATTAAATATTTTATATCGCGCTGAGACGTTTTAACGAGGTCTGCTACTCTCACCGGTAATCAAAGATCGCTCGAGGAGAGGACGAACATCGTCATCTGGATGTGAGCGTGATTCATGCCAGCGGCGCCGACTAAGAGATCGACCGAGAGATCGTCTGGCATAATACAATGCGTACTGTCATGATAGGCAATTTGTACAGCCCGATTGATTCCGTGGTTACGTAGAAATGATAGAAACGTCATGGTTTGTTTATTCAATTGTAATCACACATAAAAATTTAAATGCAATTTAAATATCTAAACGGACGTAGTTTCGTTTTTATATTAAAAGAGCAAAGCATTACCGAAGCGGCATTATTCATCTTATTGTTGATAAGGTCGATTGAACTGTGCAGTAATCAGAATTTAAATTCAATGCAAAAAATTTTTAGTTTCAAATGAATGAATCAGAATTCCGATCATCATAATTGGACATCTGATCATTTCGAATAGAATTCTGATTGACTGATGATTGATAGAATCTACTGGTTCGTTCATTTTCAACCAGAAATTTTTCTCGGTATGTAAATTCTAATTCGTTACCGTTGGCTAACACCTGTTAATATAAAGTGTCAGTAAATTTTACAAACTGCAACGACGCAACAAATGACGCAAGTAAATTTCGATCCTGGAAGCAGCGGCGGCGAAAAGTTCTTTTCTTTTTTCATCGAGCAAGGACGTTTCATCGGATTTCTCCACCGTCGGCAGTTTCGCAGAGGAAAAGGGGAAACAAGATTGTGTGTGATGTGAGTGTGTAGTGTGACAACCAGAAGACCAGGGTCATCTCACGTTCACTTCGTAACGCTCACGTTTGACCGAATTCTAGTCGCGAGTTGCTCCCTGTTGCTTTCACGAAGAGTAGAGCTGTTTCTGTCGTGTACTTAATTCAATTTACCGAAGGATGTTCCGGCGATGTCTTTGCAATATTTCTTCTCCGTCGCGACTGTCTTTTAAACATTATATT